AGACCCCTAGGGCCACTGCTCGTAGGAAAGCGAAATAAAAGAAAGAGAGAGCCACCAAATAAGCAAAACTAGAATGAATTTTCTGCTAGAACATGACCCCATACGACACCATATGTTGTCTTTTGTGCAAGTGGTGACGAGTGGAGCAAGGCCCTTAAGGCCACTGCTCGCAGGAAAACGAAAGAAAAGAAAGAGAGAGCTACAGTAGTAAGTAGTTGTAACTTGTAAGCCATAACTGCTGGAAAACAGACCTGACTTCGGATCCAGAATATATATTGCTTGCCTGCTCCGCCCTTACACGAAGTTTGCTGAACATCTCTCGAGATGTTGGGACCCTTGCAGATGCACTGCTGGGGTCCTTCGAGAAAAAGACTATTCAACAAGGAATCAGTGGCCCCATTTTAGTGCCCGTACATTTTTCAGAAGGGATGGGCACCATTGGCTACCTCAGCCAGCCCTCTCAGAACTTTTTTTTTTACCCTATTTTTTGGGGTGGCCCGCATCACGTGCCCACGAATGCTTGAGCGTGCGCTCCGCATGTGCGGAGCTCGCGCACATGCAATGCACCGCAGGTATGTATAAAACACATAGCACGAATGCAGGAAAAGTGTTTGTAATACTTTGTATCGAATTGGATGTGAGAAGGGAGGTATTCACAGTCTGTTCTCTCTCTCTCTCTCTCTCTCTCTCTCTCTCTCTCTCTCTCTCTCTCTCTCGCTCGCTCGCTCTCTCTCTGTACGTATGTTTGTATATGTATACATAAATCATTTATATATATAGAAGTCATTGGTCCTATGGCGGAGGGCAGACACAGTGAGGCATATGGCAAAAGTTAGGCGAGGTAGAAATGATGGCTTGGTTGTCGAGGTAGACACACTGATTTTGGAAGTGGGAATATTGGGAGAGTTGAAAGGGTGTGAGGGCAAGTTGAGGAGACAGAAGTTGTATTGCCAGTTTCACGAAAAAGCAGATGCAGAGCAGTTTAGTGTGTCCAAGTGGCAGATGAGGCAAAAACACATGATGCAAAGCGAGATGTCAAACAGAGCTGATGACAAAGGAAACACATGAGATGGACATCACGAGGAGCAAAGCAAGATGTCAAAAACACCTCATAACAAAGGAAAAGCAGTGACGATGAGGCGAAAACACGCGAGAGAGGCATTCGACATGGCATGGTGATCTGACGTGACACCCATGTGTATAGATCAGGAGGTTCCACACCCATTTATAAACAGTGCAATTCATAGAAGATTGTACGAGTCGTTTATACGTACGAAGTGAGGCAAGAGCAATGGTTATTCACGTAACCGTGATGAGGGAAAAACTTGCTGACATAGATGGACAGGCATGACAAATGACATGCGCGAGTTACACACTGAAAAAATGATACATGCCGAATGCGAGAAATTAGGAAAAGCACAAAAGGCATATCACCCTGGCGACCAACTGTTACAACACAGCAATGCAATCCCAAAAACGTACACACGATGCGTCCTTACAAAAGTCCAATGAGAGCACGAGGCACCATGAAAGTTTCAAAAAGACGACTGACACAGAAGCCAATGTCAGTCGAAGAACCACAATAGATTTTTGGTCGACCATTCCCAACAAAAGGCAACTCGTAGAATAATGTAATGATCACGAAGCATTCGACACTGGGGCGAATACGGAAGGAGAGCCTGACCAGAGACTCACGGTGATGATGATCCGCCAAATCGCGAGCCGAACAGATGCCGGTAATGAGTTGAACTGTTGGACTGTTGCCCAGTAACCGGAGGCCACATTTGTGTGAGCAAGGATTCCGGTGAATCCGCTGGAGCTGCCTGGCATGCTATTGATACACTTGTTCTAAGCAGAGGTAACGCAAATGTCAGTTGAGCATCTGAATTCTTAGCCAGGGCAGGAGTATACTCCCTGTGTCACGACGGGTCGGTGCAGCCCTAAGCGCTGTCATCCGTGGAGTCGGTTGTGTAGGGCCTACAGTTACCATAGTCACCGCAAACTTCGGGCATCGGGAATTCGATTCCAAACCAAGCAACGAAGAGGACAGTAACCTGCCACCGGCACAGAAGATGAGCCAGATACATTGCACGACAGGTCCAACGCAACAGCCCCACAAAGAGTCCAAATGCGTGACAATGTTATGCAGGGAAGTGAGGCCCACAATCACCCCAACCCACGGCGGGCAGGTTAAGAAGGCCCGACGCAAGCCCTTCCGGAAGTCATCATCACAATCCCGCCGTAAGGAAAACACCTGACAACGCAAATGCTCACGCCCTGGCATTTCACCACCAAACAAACAAAGCGAGCATGGGCCTAGCTGCACTACTCGTCATCCGCCAACAACGAGCATAAATCAGGACGGATTGCATATCCAGATTCATTCAAAATTTTGACGGATGGCGAGCACCGCAACGAAGATGCACCTTCACCAGGAAGACGACCAGGTAAAACCGCTGGACCACCTGTTTTGCGACCTTTTTTTTTTTTCAGCTCTCCAAGCTCGAGCGAGGGCAGACACCGCGTCATGACAAGGAAAGCAGCCCAGCACAAAGCACGTCAGATCCACCCGGGCCCAAAACCAGACTAAATGCAGCCCAATGGAAGGACCTGAGCATGCATCTGGACAGATTGCATATCCAGATTTTGAAATTTTGGCGGATGGCGAGCAGCGCAATGAAGACGCACCTTCACCAGGAAGACGACCAGGTAAAACCGCGTGACCCACCGTCAACTTTTGCGACCATTTTTTTTTTTCAGCTATCCAAAGCTCGAGCGAGCGCAGACACCGCTTCATGACAAAGGAAAGCGGCCCAGCAGAAAACACGTCAGATGCACCTGGGCCCAAAACCAGACCAAATGCCGGCCAATGGACGGACCCATAGGGCGGCTGAATCTAGACAAAGAACACCCTCACACCAAACACTAAGCGAACCGCAGACGACGCCGAACCTGCCATTCTGAACACTAAACAAACAACGAACCTCCCCAAAGAACACAGCCACATTAAAGAGCACTTAAAGCGCCCCCCCCCCCCTCTCCCCCCCCAAGGAGCATCCAGCCTCATATCGCGACCACATCCATCCAAAAAGCCACCCCCCCAGAATGCACATGCCACCACCGAGCGGGGAAATGCATGCACCTGCAACGCCATGAGACTGCGCACCTTCCCCAAGAAGACAACCAGGTAAAACCGCCGGACCACCCGTCGACTTTTGCGACCTTTTTTTTTCTTTATCTCCAATCTCAAGCGAGGGCAGACACCTTGCCATGACAAGGAAAGCGGCCCAGCAGAAAACACGTCAGATGCACCCGAGCCCAAAACCAGACCAAGTGCAGGCCAACAGAAGGACCCATAGGGGCGGCTGAATCTAGACAAAGAACACCCCCACACCAATGGGCCCGCATCGAAACACTAAGTGAACCGCGGAGGACGCCGAACTCGCCATTCCGAACTCTAAGCAAACAACGAACCTGGGCCCAAAACCAGACCAAATGCAGGCTGAATCTAGACAAAGAACACCCCCACACCAACGGGCCTGCATCGAAACCCTGAGCAAACCGCAGAGGACGCTGAACCCGCCATTCCGAACTGTAAACAAACAACAAACCTCGCCCAAGAACACAGCCACATGAAAGCACACTAAAGAAAGCATCCACCCCAAACAGCATCGGTAATCCGCACATGCATCGTGCCTCATATCGAGACCATATCCATCCAAAAAAACACAACGCCGCGACACTGCACAAACACCACACACCGCAAATCACAGCTAGATAGCGGGGAAATCAACGACAGCAACGCGACACAAAGACGAGCGAATAGCAAAGAGGGCGGTACACGGGTCGACACAACAGCACTCCAAAAAGCCGACGTGCAGCAAAAGCAGAGCTCGAAAAACGGTTAAGAAATCAGGTTTCAAGCAACACCAGCCGTGAAGATAAAAAAAGCGCGAAAGAAAAGAACAGACTCGATGCGCAGCGTTACAGCAAGGGCGACTAAGCTTTAGTAGTATGTGTTGATAGGGGACAGACAACCAGCTTGAACCTACAATCAGGTCGGGATGCACAAGGCACACGCAGTGTCTTCTGAGAAAAAAACTTAACGGCATTCCAATTGGCCTAAAAAATCACAACAAGGCAGTTGATATTATTCTTCTACAGGAAACACACCTCGTGATAAATTTCACTGACCTAAAACATCACAAAGTTGCATCACGTGCCCCTGCCCATCTGGGATCCACCTCTCCATTCTCATCCTTTCCCAGGTTTACCCCAACCCCCCAACTACACTTCATGTCATCGCAATGCTTGCATGAAGGTAGCACAGAGATCAGAAAATGACCTGACCCCCCTCAACCCCCCACCCTGCCCATTTCCCCGAACCGGCTTCTGCCTTCCTGTACTGATAATCCCCATTCCCACCCTTGACTCCTATAAAAGAGCAAACCTTTTGGCCTGATCGAGGATAGATTCCCCAGAGTAAGCTTCCATTTGCATCATAATTATGTGTCAAAATGGGCAGGTATATAAGAACACTGCCGAAAACAGACGGGTCACCCATCCATGGACTTGGTGCAAGATCTAGCACAATCATTTTGAGTTGCAGCCAATCTTACACGCAAACACCAACAGAGACCTTACTTGACTAAACAACAAGATCCTGTGAAGGCGGAAAACAACAGAACAAAAAGATTGAAGAAGATATACGCGCACCTTTTCCGGGTGGTGAAAGCGTTTCGACACCTGCCATCTGTAGCTGGGAAGGAAAGCAATCGGATTGCCCTCAAACCATAAGAACTTCAAATTCGGAAGATGTCCGAGTCTTGCCACTTCGTTTATGCAGCTGATCAGATTGAAAGCCAGATCAAGGCCCTGCATTATACAGAGCATGAATTTGAATCAGATAAAACAATTCTGGAGATGCAAGGAGAAGGCAGGCACCCAATGAAGAAATGAAGGCCGTATATCTTAAAGATTGATGGCCAGGATCACTTCATTTGCGGAATTTGGCACTGACTAAGAGATGCAGTCTGTCGGCGAGGATCACTTCATTCGTGATACTGGGACATCGCATAGGGTCACAACGTATTATCCACTTCATAATCACTTGGCACAACATACCATCTGCAGCCCTAGATATTGCCGCATCGCAGCGAACTGGAAGAGTGCTTGTGGCTCACGAGTCCAAAGTGAGCTGTGAGAGGTACCTGATCTAAGTTTTAGTAAGGTTCATGCCTCCCGAGCTTGTCGCATTTCAATTTGAACGCTGTTCGCCACTTGGACCGGTCTCATTGTTTTCAATTTGACCAAGATGACTGGCACATTCACAAAGGTGAGTACAACAGCTAGCTGCCTTTCAGGTGCTCCTTTTCCTCCTCCTCCTCCTCCTCTTACTGGACCTTGGAATTCCTCTGGATCTTCTCGTGATTGTGAACTGCACCTTGACCTCATCATCACAATCTGGATCTTCATCACCAGATTGTGATCTGAATCTTTGTCTCACTTCCCTGAGCTGCTGCCCTCCACAGAGATATCATCATGCATTCAGCGAACTCACCTTGCATGGACATCTCTCTCTCTCTCTCTCTCTCTCTCTCTCTCTCTCTCTCTCTCTCTCTCTCTCTCTCTCTCTCACACACACACACACACACACACACACA